TTTGATTGTTTTAAGCTCTAACGGAAGGGTTGTTTAAGTGTGAACATTGAAGGTTTTGATGCTTAAGTGAAAATAAGGGAGAGATGGAAGAGTTGTTTGTTCGATTGAAGCCTTGATTAGAGTCGGTCGATCTTGATGAATGAGATACTTATATGTCATATTTTTGTATTTTAGTCCTAAAATGCTTAAGTTTCTAATATTAGTAATTTGGATTTTTTGAAGGGGATTTCATTAAAATAAGGAGAAACCCTCAAAGAGGGTTTAGTCCCCATATTCCACGGCCTGTAAAAGAAGACAGGGAGATGATATTTCAAATTATCTTCCCTAAAGTGTTAAAATACCATTAAAGAAACTTAAAGAGTTCTAGAGTGGAAAGCTAAAGTTATTAGTTATCTTTTTGATGTCATTTCGTTTAGGGTAAACTACACATTCAGTACCTAAACTATTAGTTTTATTTCGTTTTAATACTTAAACTTTTATTTGTTTTAAAATCATACCTAACGTTTACTTTTTGTTTAGTTTTGGTAACTCACCGTAAAAATTTAAGCGGAATTGTTACAACATGGCATTTTTTATGGGTAAATTACATCATTCATCAGGTTTATTTTTTAAATTTAATTATTTAACTTTCAAATTACTCATAATTTAATCACTCTAAATTTCAAATTTATTTTTAAATTATATATTAAGAAAATAATAATAAAATTGTCATGTCATAAAGATATTAATAAAATAAATTAGAATGATTAAAACATGAGCAATTTGAAAGTTGAGTAGATAAATTGAAAAAAGTTAAACTTTAGTAAACAAAATAGGTTGAGAAGATAGTTGAGTGATGAATGATACAATTTACCCAAAAAATGCCACTTTGCATAAGTTATTAAGTTTTCAAAGGCAAAGTACTAAAATGAAATAAAAAATAAACATTAAGTATGATTTTAAAACAAATAAAAATTGAGGTGCTAAAACGAAACAAAACTGATCGTTTAGATACTAAACGCATAATTTATCCTTTTTTTAACTATCTAAGTTTTAGTTATTAGCATCATTTGATGTCATTAAAGGCGAACGCTGATAGAGCGGTTCGAGACACTAATAAGACGACTGCTGCAGGTGGAGTTTTAAGGAATGACCAAGGGGATTCATGAAGTTCTCATGCATGCATGGCAGCTGGGGTACTAAAAGGTGCTAGTGGAAATCGACAATGTCGAGATCACCAAGCTTCTTTCATCGAGAATTTCAACAATAGTCAGATTCGTCCTAAAAGATATGGCATGTTGGCGAACCCGTGGTTCACTTCACAAAACCACCACATAATATGGCTTCTTTAGTTGCCAAGGAAGCTGCTGGAGACTAGGTTCCTTTTCATTTATTGTTATGTACATTAGCAAAAAATATTATCCAAGTAGTGTAAGTAAAATCCTAGATCTTACTATAAGGAAAATCTGGCAGGAAATTAGGATTAATGGGGAGAAAGTTCCTTGGCAATCCTTGATTTGGTTCCCTCTTCATATACCAAAGCATAGTATGATAGCATGGATGGCTCTCCTTGACCGCCTACCAACTCGTGACCGTCTACAACGAATGGGGATTTCAACCACTGGAAGTTGTGTTCTCTGCAGTGACGCACTGGAATCTCGCTCCCATCTGTTCTTTGAATGCTCCACTGCTAATCTTTTATGGGAGAAAATCTTACACCACAATGGGATAACGAAATCTATTTCTTCTTGGGATGACATGGTTGATTGGGCATGCAACACTTGGAAAGGCAAGTCTCTCATTACAACCATTCTTAAACTTGCTTGGTGTGCTAAAATTTATACTTTATGGGAAGAACGCAATCGTAGAATATTTCAAGGTAGAACAAGAACAACCGAAGACCTCTTCATTTGCATCAAAGATTTTGTAAGTATCAAATTGATGGGGAAAAATATCAATAGGACTGATAGTATTAACTCATTCCTTTGTAACACTTGGGGCATTGCCTAAACCGATCTCTTTCTTTTATTGTTATTGTTAGTAGGATGTAAATAGGATTTAGTGGTCGGTGTTTTGTAATAGCTTCGGCTTCTTTGGGTAATAAAATTGAATTATCCAAAAAAAAATCCTAGATCTTAATTTTATTTAGGAGTTTATAGAATTTAGAGTTAATTAATTTTTTGATTGATATGGGGTGATTTTAAGGTAATACTTATTCAAAAGACTCTTAATCATTCGAATTAAATATTTAAACACACCTGTAAATGTCATGATCGAACCCGATACCTCTAAGGATGTAATACCCCAAAAGTTGTTAAGTGGCCAATTTTTTTATTAAAAAAAGTATAAGTTGGTGTTAAAGGTATAAATTTAGGAAATGTTGGGGATTTGTTTGGTAATTTATTTAAAGAAATCCCCCCCCCCCCCCCGACAAATTGGATAAATGGATCAAATAGAAAATTTAAGACGTTATTCCAATCTTTTAAGACAAGAGAAAATATATAACTTCCTAAAGATTTGTATTAAGCATTAAATTAAGATGATTTCTCATGTTAAATATAGACCATTGGATCATAAAGGATAAGATTAATATTAAAATTTATTTTAATGACAAAATGGTATTTTGACATTCCATTAAATTAGTATAAACCATAGAATGTTTATAAGTGACATGGGACATGTTATGGATCATAAATGTTTAAGGACAAAATAATCTTTCATTTTTTTATTTAGCTAAAGGTGATTATAAAATAATATATATTCTAAGTACTCTCAACAATTTGACAATAAAAGCTCAATCACCCTTGCAATCGTTGGTGCTAGAACCCATGACCTCTAGGAATAACAATAATTTTTTAACCACTAAGATAAATTGATTCGTGCAATAATCTTTTCATTTTGAAATGATTAAAATAATATTAGTTTATAATATAACTTTTGTTATAAAAAAAAAGGAAAGTAAACTTACTTCTCCAAACTATCGTGGATTTGAAAGGTAAGGGAAATTTGTTTTATTTGATTTTTCCTTTCAATTTATTTAGATTTAATGTTAAGACATGAAATATAAAATTGATCTCCCTTGGATTCTCTTTCATTTGGCACCAATAATTTATGGTTTTCATGTATTATATGATTGAGTAGAAAGATAACATGTTTTAAAGTTTGGTGATTTATGAGATTTAAAGTTCGGATATGATAAATTGGGTGTTGTTCTACTATTTCCATAAGTGATAAAAATTAATTGAAAATGAGAGAGAAAGTTTTGGTTAAATAGGATTTTACATGTATTATTTGAATTAGTGATTGTACATGAAAAATAAATGATGCTTTATGCTTAAATATGATGTTTGAAAAATAAATTCATGTTTGAATGTCTAAGTGATCAAACCGATAACTTTTTAAAGTTTAGGTTTTATGTGTAAATATTATTTGATGATGAAAATGATGTTATCTTTTTTAATAGATTATTAACATGTATTTTGAATTGTATGTGTTATGTAAATTATGTATAGAATCCGAGTAAAATCGAGATCCAAGCAAGTTCAAGGACAAAGAAAATATCAAGAATTAAAGCTTATATTATACTTCACGTTAGTTCGGTAAGATAGTAAGGTAAGTACATTTTGTGTATTTTATATATTAATTATATATATTTATGATGAATTGTAACAATTCTATCTATAAGACGAATTATAAATTTATAAATTGTATCATATATATTATTACATGCAATGTATATGTTTGTATAAATAATGAAGTATAAACTGTCTTATTATGATAGGTGTTATATTACTATTAAATAAATAATGTGACACGATCATAGGTATTAAATGTTACAAGTTACTAAACGTTACAAGCTACTAAATGGTACAAACGTTTGTATATATATTTCTTAAGTATATTTGTAAGAGAGTGATTGGTATAATGGTGTATCATAGATTTCACGAATGTACAAATTTCATACTTTGGTATGATGCATAGTTCCACCCTTCAAGGTGATACACAATTACATACTTTGGTATGATGCATATATAGTATACATGCCTGTCTTATCTCTCTTAAATTAAATTGGGCAATTAAAGAAAATAAATAAGATATTTACGGGTTACATATTTAGTAGTTTACAGAAATTGATGAAAAGATAGCTTTTACGGTTATGTTGTTCAAGAAAATTTTAGGCAAATGTGTTGCCTATAGGATGTGGAACTTATAGGTTTCTTCTTATGTCTCATTAAATTATATATTTAGTGTGTATTTATTTATGCACACATAGATGGTTCGAAAAAGTGAAGTGAGCAGATTTATATTTGTGCTTTTGGGTGGATCGATTGAGTGTCACATTATATTTTGATATCCTATGCGATGCTTTTGAGGTATAGTGACATGTATATTTGATCTACCATTTTTTTTGGGTAAATGACCCCTAGTCATTTTAGTTTATAATAGTATATATAATAGATTATAATTATGTATGTTTAATTTATTATGCTAATGATATGAATACATTAATAGTATTATCACGAGGTTATAAATAAATAAATAAGTTCATATTTTAAAGGTATAAAAGTATTAGAGGTTATAAGTAAATTCTTTTAGAAAGTATGTTGTTATTTCTAATTCGTAATTATCAATTGTACAAGAAAGAGATGTTATAAACTATAGTTAATATCTCTTTAATCACTGAGATCGTTTGATTCGTGGAAATTAAAGTTAACATTTAGCATTGATATGCATGATTTGTTTAACTATGAATGTGTATTTTGTTTTACTAGATAAGAGGGTTTAATAAAAATCTCTAATCAATACATATATTTTATTTTTAAAATATTTTATCAAAAAATATATATCAAACATAATATTATTTTTAAATAGATATATATTTAAATTAGCAACCTCTATCATACTCATTGCTCTTATCACATATTGGAAATAGTGTATAATGTTTCAACCATGTGCTTCAAAGAAGCATAATATTTATTTTTCATATACAAATAATTTTCTTTTTAAAAGAATAGGGATAATTAAGCCCTAATGCTTACTATTTACACGAGTACACACTCTTGCATGTTGAAAAACTTTTCCAGGTCGACACAAATAACCTTTGGCCGGAGCACAGTGAACATCTTGCGAGCATATACACAACCCTTCCAAAGCACATCCTTCCTTCAACATCGTGACCCCATTCCTCAGCCCAAGAACTTGGTCAGTCCACTCACTGGAAAACAGCCCCCACGGATCGTACTTACTTTTAACCTTCAAAAATTCCCCGCTATTTTTGTACTTCTTTATCACCCCGTCGAACGCCAAGTTCCGATTCTTTCCCCAGTGCGGCAACGCACCGTATTTGAACAACGCCATTTGTTCGATCTCTTCCAAGATGTCTTGGTAAAGCCTAGGAGCCATGGGGTCTTTATTCCTGTAGTAGGTGATGTCGAAGTCTATTGCGTCTTCTTGTTTGCCTAGGTAAGCGGTGGAGGCCTTGACGTAACGCATCAAGATGCCGTTGTAGAGTTCTAGGCCGCAGAGCGATTTGGGTTCCATTGCTACTAGCTTCTGCACGTCTTCGATGAAGTCTTTTACGACTGATAAGCTAACAGAGAATGTGGTTTGGTGAAAGAACTCGCCCTTGATTCTTGGGTCCCAAGCGCATGCGGTGATCAGTGAGTTTTCGAGACTGTCCAGGCACGTTCCCGATGATTGGAGACGGTTGTGATATCCAATTACGGGATAGCCCGTGAAAATTAAACCTACCTCACAAATAAAAGGAAAAGAATAAAATGATTCCAGAAAAAAAAACATAAGGTAAATTGTAGCATTAGTACTAAATTTTAGGAGTGTTTTCGTTTTGATGAACGGTAAAGGGGCAGAGACGACTACTTAATAAGGTTGGTTTCCAGATATATCATTTGTATCGTCTATGTAATGCTTCTCACTGTTTATATTTACATATGAACATTCTAAATCCCTCAAAATTAATGAAACATCCAAATCCCTAAAAATAATAGTTTTGCGTGGATTGAATTTCATGAGTTTTAAACGAACTAAATCCCAACTTGATGCATAGTAGAGGGACAAAAAACAGAATTTGAAGATTTCCACGAAATCCTAAAAGGAACTAACAAAAAGAAGAGATTCGGAGGTTACCGTTGTTCGTCAATCCATAAGCAGCCGTTTGCAGTGTGGATATGATTGCCTTTGCATTCAGGCACTTCCCATCAGCATCTCTAAAGAATTCTTGAGTTTCCTCTGAAACATTAAGGCAATGGTAAACAAATAATTACTGTCGGATAATGTTAATTGGGCGAAGCTCATGCGTACATAGCAGTAATCTTCGACAAACGAACCCATAGATCTGGCGAGTGCCAAAACAAGCGAGGGAGTGGAGCGAAACGGCGTGAAATCATAGAGACCGTTGCCGGACGCATTACCCGAGACCCGATCATCGAGTCTGTAGACAGCCTTGCGTTGGCTTGGATACCAAAATATGTCTGCAAATTCATGTAGCTGGCCGAAGGCCACTGCTTCGTCTCCTAAATCTTTGTCATCCTTTGTCACGTAAGTAATGGATCGTTTGAAAAGAGGTTGAAGTTTCAAAGTCACCTATACAAATAAAGGGATTGTAGATTATAATAAAAGGATAATATTATTGCACAAAAGGTGGCGATTGAAAACTTGTATCAAATTTAAACAAGTTGGTAGTTTTAGTTTAGTTAAACCCGTTATCCGTAGAATTTGCCTTCCATGCCACAACCAGCAGCTTGAAGCTAAAACAATCACCAAAAGCCAACAAAACCGAGAAAGGGAGATGAGAGTTAACGTACCTGTGAAATTACCCCAAGGACTCCGAGCGAAACCTTAGCTGCATCCAGATCTTTGTCCCTCTCATTTAACACCCTGACCTTAGCATACCCTTCATCGGCTCCGGAAGGGCTCACAATTCTCATCTCCACCACATAATCATGAACCGAGCTCCCTTTTCCCCACAACGAGCTCCCATGAGCTGCCGTACCTAAAATTCCACCAATGGTGAGTCCCCACCAATACGGTGCATAAGGCAATACTAAGCCAGCCTTGGCGGCTTCATTAACCAGTTGCCTCAACGTGACACCGCTCTCCACTGTCATTGTCATTGTCGCTACGTCGGTTTCCACTACCCGGTTAAGGTACTTGGTGCTGATAAGCAACCCATCTCGGCCGTCGGGACAGACCAGCTTGGGAATGCTGTGAGAGAAGCGTGTCACCACTTTCACTTTCCTTCTGGCTTCGGTCGTGGCCGACACGACCGAAATCAGCTCTTGTTCGTTCGACGGGTAAGCCACGTTCCCTGCTCGGCAAACGGCTCGGTCAGGGAACGTGCCGTAAGAGTTCGTGATGGTGCAGTTCGAATATTTGGTCAAACATTTGACAGGGTCCGCGGGAGGGGTGCAACTCACTGAAACACCGAATAGCAAGAGGCATTCCCATAGGAGAAGCTCATGAAACTTGATTTTCCCTTTTGAAAGTAACATCGATATTGGGATTATGGTGGGAAGTGATGATATTAATTTGTCAACTGACACAGTTGATGTTTAACTGCGGATTCACACCTTATAGGCTTATATATAGTTGTGTAGCTTAGAAGGGGAAAGTTGTTTAAAAGCTTTGAAGTTAAGAACTTTCGAAAAAGTGACTTGTTACTTTTTTTGTAAAGGTGTTTATAAATGTGAATAAATAAAATTTGATTCATCCAATGCTCATAAATTTTCCTACGTACACTTGCAGCCTTCGAAAACCCTTATTGTGTCGAAGCATGTAATAAAGAGTTGATAAATAGTGGAGCACTTGACGAAGTTAATAAAAGTCAGAATCAGACTGATAATATCTGAAATGGAGTCGTGCTCGTGTCATTAACATTTCATCATTACTGGTGAGTGCGTGCAATGTGTCGACGTTGGACCCAACACGGTTTCACGATCGAGATAGTGCAGAGATTATGGGGTTGCTGGGGCAAAATAGTTTAAACAAAATCACCCCCATCCTGCTCTTTGTGGAGCATTGGCGTATTGGACTTCAATATTTTACTTTAACAGTTTTGACAAGAGGATAAAATAATTTTAAATTCGGGTTGGATCATGACCATAATATGTTATATTATTATAATGTCATGTTGGGTTTAAGCCGATAAAAATTTATTTTATTTTGATACTTTATTATCTCTAATTAGGATGCTTACGAAATCAAATGATAATAAATTTAGAATCTTAAAATAATTTCAAATGATAAAAATAACACTTATTGAATCGTTAGCTCGCTAGCTGCTCTGAGTACATAATTGAATGATGTGCTAGTACTATCAACGAAGACCACGCGTAAAGGATAATCTAAATCAATATTCTCAAGTACTATTTTTCCATGGGTTAGGGTTGGATGGTAAGAGCAGCTGGCACGACCGTACAATATACTTGGTTGTCAAGAAACAAAGCTGTAAAGTGTGGAGTTTTTGACTTTGTGTCAAGTTAATTATGGCGGTGATTAGATCCATCAAAGAAGTTGATATCTAAAATTGTTCTAGGAATTTAACAATTATGAGAATATTATACGACGGAAATGATGATAATATACGGTTGCCAAAATTAAAGAAAAAACATTAAAGTTTTACGCAAAATCCATGAACGAAGAAATTAATAATAAACAAATAAAATTTTATTGGTGTCCAATTACATATAAGAAAAGATTTATAACTATGCATAAATATTAATTTAAAATTTAATTTTTTAACTTTTTTTATTTGTAAAGATAATTAAGGTGGATTTACTTAGTAATGAATGTACTCGATGCACGAAGGTGGGTTCTTTATTATCCCGGGGGGTTAGGGCCTAGGCTAATACAATAATAATAATAAACCTGAAAAGACGGCCCCATTATCACTACTGGACTTTTACATTACCTGAAAAGACGGCCCTTAATCACTACCTTGAAAATCTATTTTGGCCCTTTCATAATTTATATATTATGATAATATATAATAAACTTCATATTAACAAAATGTTTTTATTCAAATGAAATGATGATCACATGACTCCGATATTTTTTCTACATATATTATATATATGTATATATATATATATATTATCATAAGCTAATTTAATTAAGAAAAAAAAATATATATAAAAAAACTTTAAAATACACTAGTATATGTTGGAGTGTTGTATAAGTAAGGGCAACTCTAGGACGTTCTAAAAAGGAGTAGAATGAAATTACAGATATTTCAGTGCCGAGCCGCCGAAGTATATATTTTTTCCTATTGGTCTTTATAAAATTTATGGATTGTAAGATAGAGCAAATTTGCATTTTTGGGGATCAAGTCCATTTTCTGCCCTTACATTCATCTTTGTGTATAATTAAATTATTTATCTAAATAACTAAAACTCATTTACCAAGTTTCTTTTTTTTTTTAAAAATAGTTATAATACTTGATAAGTTTATAATATATTAACAAGTAACATCGTTTTAATTAAAAAAATTAGTAAAAAAACTTTTTTCTTTCATCATTTATTATTTTTAGTTTAAATATAATTTTGATTCAAGATACTATATATACACCTAAAGTAAACTACCACTATAAATATCATTCACTAAAATTTTTACTTTAATTATATAATTTTTGTTAAATTTTTATTTTTCAACTCATATGACGAATTCTTATAATTATAATAACGAGAATCATCTTTTATAATATAAGAGTGTTTTTTCTAATAGTTATAGAGGTAATAAGATAATGTTAGTGTTAGTTGTGTATTGTGCATGGTTGTGCATGCAGCTGGTATATGTTATAGCCAAACAGTTGGAGAAGTTAGTTTGTTGAAGTCAGTTACAGGATTAGTTACAGTTGTAATCCTAGCTATAAATGTTCACCTTGAGACTTGTATACATTCACTTGAAGATAATGAAGTTTAGAAGATTCATCTCTTTAGTTTTGTTTCTCGTTATTGCTTTCATAATTTAGATATGTGTTCATATCTTTACATGGTATCAGTCGCCAAAACAGTCATGTGATTCCTGGTTTGCTCATTTTCTTGAAGATTCTTGAAGGTTCTTGCTATTCTTTGGATAATGGTGGACTTACAACAAGCTGGTGTTCAGTCTCTGGTGAATACCACAGCCAATTCGTCGTCATATGGATCTTCAGTCTTGTCTAGTTTACAACATATACTTAAACAGGATGTCATAAAACTTACCGAGTTAACCTACCTTCTTTGAAAGCATCAGGTGACCCTTATAATTGATGTCTATGGCTTGTTGGCTTATATCTCTGGTGATGATCCTGCTCCATCCCAGTTTGTTACAAATAAGTCAAGATAACTTGAGGAAAATCCAGTATATGTTGTGCATAGGCAACAAGACAAGTTGCTTGCTTCATGGTTGTTGACAACGGTTATCATGGAGGTTTTGCCACATCTTACGGGGCTCACGTCCTCTCGCACAATCTGGAATGCAGTATCAAGGTTGTTTGGAGTTCGTTCTAGTGCCAAGATTTCTTCTCTTAGACACAATTTGCACTCTCAGATGAAAGCTGGCTTGACTGTGAGTGATTATTTAGCCAAGATCAAGATAATCTATGACTTGCTGAATGTTGCTGGTTGTGTTGTATCTGAACAAGAACAAGTAAGTGTGATTATTGATGGATTGTCAATGGAGTTCGAGTCCATTATTGCTACAACGTCTCGTGATGTAGTATCCTTTGATAGTCTCACTAAAATGCTCATGTATTGTGAGGCTAGGCAGGAAGCTTTTTTAAGCGATGATATTATTGCGAATATGGTTGTTCATTCAAAAGAAGAGAATAGGTCGAGATCTCAGGCTGTCACTGAAACAGATGCGACAAAAAAGCAATTTTATCCCATGAGAGGTCAACAGGGAAATCAGCATGGAGGCTATCGTGGTCGAGGCCGAGGAAGGTTTAACAATTCGAATAGGCCACAGTGCCAGTTATGTGGAAAGTTTGGGCACATTGTTCAGCGGTGCTATCGTCGTTTTGACTGAGATTTCACTGGAGTTGTCAGTGAAGATCAATCTGTTGAGCAATGGAAGAAACCAGCTGACCAGGTTGCTCCTGTGAATGGACATGCGTATAATCAAAAGCTGAATTCTCCTGTTTTCTATCACTATCCATCAAGTTCTATGCATGATATGCCTTATGCTTTGACTCGTCAAGAACTATCTTACTTCTCGAATCAGGTAATGAATACTTTTCCTGGGGACTGTGCAGCTTATCCTACGACAACATAAGGACACGAGTCATTTGTTCATACTGCACCTACAACTTTTGTATCCACTGTGCCTAGTGTGGCAACAGTTCATAGTGTTCCAAAACACTCCAATGCTTTGTGGTATCCATACACGAGTGCCACTCATCACGTATCAAATGATCTTGTACCATTCAAATTAGGTATGACATACAAAGGTAACAACACACTTTTAATAAGAAATGGTGAAGGAATTAAAATTGATCATGTTGGTCAAGGTTTTCTGTCTTCTAGTCTCAGACCTCTGGTCTTACAAAACATGCTACATGCCCCACACATTAAGAAGAAATTATTGTCAATATCTCAATTCACTCGTGATAACAATGTATTTATTGAGTTTCATCATTTTGAATGCTTGGTGAAGGATGCACAGACTCGGACCATTCTGTTGAAAGGGAAACTCACACGTGAAGGATTATACCAGCTGCTACCGTATGAAGAGAAGAAATCGAGTTGTATGGTGAACAATGTGTCCAAGACTTCAAGTAGTTTGAAACTTTGGCATAGGCGTTTAGGACACTCGTGTGTGAAGACTGTCAAAGATGTTATGAAAATGTGTAATGTTTCTTCTAGTGAAAAGAAATTGAACAATATTTATTCTGCATGTTTACAAGGCAAGGCTCACAAGCTGCCTTTTTTGTAAGTCATTGACTGAATACAAAGAAATTTTTCAGCTGGTTGTGTCAGATGTGTGGGGACCTGCACCTGTAGTTTCGACTGAAGGTTACCTATATTATGTCTCATTTATTGACGTTTTTAGCATACGTACATGGGTGTATCTGATTAGAAAGAAGTTTGAAGTCAGCCAATGCTTTCTCAACCTTGTTAAAATAGTCGAGGTTTAGTTTGGGAAGAAAATCAAAGCACTGCAAAGCGATGGTGGAGGTGAATACCAAGCCCTGAAGAGTTGGTTTTTTACCAATGGTGTACAACATCAAATCTCTTGTCCCAGCACATCAGAACAAAATGGGAAGGCTGGGCGTAAACATCGCCACATTGTTGAGATTAGACTAGACATGTTATCTCAAACATTACTGCCAACAAAGTTCTGGAGTCATGCCTTTACCATGGCAGTGTACATTATAAATAGGCTACCATTTGAGACTATTTCAGGTAAGACCCCGTTTGAGGTTCTCTATTAGAAAGCTCCTGACTACTCGGGTATGAGAGTGTTCGGGTGTGCTTGTTTTCCTTTCTTGAGACCGTTTAATAAACATAAATTGGATTTTCGGTCAAGGCAGTGTGTGTTTCTTGGGCCCAACACCTCACATCGTGGGTACAAGTGTTTAGACAATGATGGTAGAGTTTTTGTGTCTCGTTATGTAAGGTTTGATGAGCAAGTGTTTCCCTTTGTTAAGATTCAACTCGTATGCAAGTGCCATAGACAAGAGATTATCACGACTGGATAGCTTTCTCTAGTTTGCATCCCAGTGAATTCTTCAAGAAACGTAGAAGGTGTTTAAAGTGCTGGTCGAGCTAACGAATTATATCACTTGGCAAATACAAACAATGGGAGTAGTTATGATGGCAGCTCACATGGGGTCTAAGAAGAAAATTATGATGGTGCGGAAAATACAAACAATGAGAGTAGTTGTGATGGCAACTCACATGGGGTATAAGAGAGAATCACGATGATAACAATCATGGGAGTTGTTGTGATGGCAGCTCACATGGGGTCCAAGAAGAAAATTATGATGGTACGATAAATACAAAAAATGGGAGTAGTTATGATGACAACTCATATGAGGTCCAAGAAGAGAATCACGATGATAATAATCATGATGGTAGCAATCGTGATGGTAACTCACATGGGGTCCAAGAAGAGAATGATACAGTAGAAACGTGTGTTGAAATTTAACACGATGTGAAGAGTGGTGTACCACAAGCAGTCTCCAATGTACATCCCATGATGACCATGAGTAAGCATGGAATCTGGAAGCTGAAAGTTTATAACGTTGCAAGTTCAGATCGAGAACCAGCAAATATCGCAGAGGCCTTGATGAGTCCTCATTGGAAAGAAGCTGCACAAGTTGAGTTTGATGCCTTGGTAAGTAACGACACGTGGACTATAGTTCCTCTTCCTAAAGATAGAAAGGCAGTAAACTGTAAATGGATTTTTCGAATAAAGTGAAATATTGATGTTCAATTTCAAGGTATAAAGCACGTTTAGTGGCAAAGGGTTTTCTTCAGAAACCAGGAATTGATTTTGATGAAGTCTTCAACCCAGTGGTCAAGCCTGCAACGATAAGGGTAATTATTTCCTTTGCATTGTCACGGGGATGGAAGCTAAAACAGATCGATGTCAACAATGCCTTCTTGAACGGGCTGCTCACTGAAGAGGTGTACATGACTCAACCACCAGGGTATGAGCAAGGAAATGGTGAGCTGTTATGTAAGCTACACAAGGAAATTTATAGGCTGAAACAAGCACCAAGGGCCTGGTTTGAACGATTGAAGAGATATCTAGAGTCTGAAGGTTTTTTTCTAGCTAAGTCGGATGCTTCCCTTTATGTTAGAAAGACCTCGGATAGTTTGGTGTACCTGTTGGTATATGTCGATGACATTATCTTAACAGGTGATAAAGAAGTGGTTGTGCAACAAGTTATAGACAAATTGAACACTCAGTTCTCATTAATGAATCTTGGACTTTTGAATTTTTTTTCTTAGGAGTGGAAGTTAGTTATGGAGGTGGCAATATTATCTTGAGTCAACAAAAGTACATTCAAGACCTTTTACAGAAGCATGGCTTTGGTGAAGTGAAAAGCCTTTCCACTCCCATGGTCCCAAATATCAAACTGTCTGCTAAGGAGAGAAAACCACTTGAAGATGCTGCACGATACAGAAGTATAGTAAGTGCTCTGCAGTACATTGTAATTACTCGGCCCGATGTGGCGTTTACTGTGAATAGAGTGCCAATTCATGCAAGCCCCACTAGATGCTCATTTTCAGGTAGTCAAGCGAATGTTGCGTTACCTACAAGGCACCGTTGACTTTGGGCTACGGTTTACATCCTCCTCGAGAATGGCCTTGACTAGATTTGCATATGCAAATTGGGGGGTCAGATGTAGATGATAGGCGATCGACGTCTGGCTTCTGTATATATTTTTGTGGAAATTTGTTCTCATGGAGCTCTCGAAAGCAACAGGTTGTTGCACGATCAACTGCTGAGGCCAAATATAGAAGTGTGGCTTGTGCAGCTACTGAGATGGTGTGGCTTCGATCGTTGTTGGAAGAATTGCATGTAGTTTCACATGGCAAGGCCACATTGTGGTGTGATAATACGAGTGCAGCCGCTGTATGTGCTAATCATGTATTATATTCCAAGTTCAAACATGTTGAGCTAGACTTGTTTTTTGTTCGAGAAATGGTGGCTATGGGGCAACTACAAGTACATGAAGTTCCTGCAGTTGAGCAGGTTGCTGATGTGCTAACCAAACCTTTGTTAGCACCATTATTCTTCAAACATAGACAACGATTGTTGGTGGTATAACTTAAGAGTATATCAAATGAGCTTTGAAGGAGGTTTTGAAGGTGAAGATTGCAAGGGGAATATTAGTATAAATGATCTTTGTTGCTGTGCAGTGGCTATGGGACATGATGAACACTCGTGCAAATGAGTTTGAATGAGCTTTGAAGGAGGTTTTAAAGCCAAAGATTACAAGGGGAATGTTAGTGTTAATTGTGTGTTGTGCATGGTTGTGCATGCAGTTGGTATATGTTATAACCAAACAGTTGGAGAAGTTAGTTTGTTGAAGTCAGTTACAGGATTAGTTATAGCTGTAATCCTAGCTATAAATGCTCACCTTGAAACTTGTATACATTCACTTGAAGATAATGAAGTTTAGAAGATTCCTCTCTTTAGTTTTGTTTCTTGTTCTTGCTTTCATAGTTTAGATATCTGTTCATATCTTTACAGATAACATGTTTAAAAGTTTTAAATTTATTCACGACGCACACACAACAAATGATTTTTAGAATTAAATATTACATAAATAATTTTATATTTTTATTATTTAAAGCTATTAATGGTAATATGGATGTATGTTGGAACTTGTTCTAATTGGAAAACAAAAAAAAAGAATATAATACCCAATTACAAAAAATAAAGAATTTAAGTAGGATTGAAAGAGGTGTGAAAACTGCAAGTTGAGGAGCAAACCCTACCAGAGGTGTGGGGTCTAATGGAGCTGGGTGTCTGATAAATGTTGTGGCAGTGCTTTCTGTCAATGCATTCCCCAATCAGATCCATTTCTCATCAATAATTTAAACATCAAATCTAATATTCAATGGCACTATAACTTAGAACCCAAGACAATGGAAATTATGTAATATTCATCAAGGAAAATTCTCAATTCTCAATGACTGCACATATTCATCTCATCTCCCAACGTGCTGCAAACATCACCAAGAAGCACGAATATCTTTTTCTCTCGAAAATTATTATGAATTTCTGTGTAAGATAAAGACTGTCAAGTGGCACACCACATGCTCTGTTTCAGTTCCCCTCTTCATTATTGAGATTATGTTCAGGCTGCTCCCCTTTTCAATGGACATGATAACAGCTCAGGGAAAAAGACGTCTCATTTTAGCCCACCAATACCATCATCTACTGCCTTGCTGCAGTACCCACCCATTACTCCATATATATAAACCCATGTAAACCCTTATACACTAGAAAGAACACTCACATCTAAACAATGCTGTGGGTCCATTCATTACATGCAACTTAATTAAAATTCTAAAATCGAGTCGAACCGAAGCATAAACTTAATATATTATAACAGATGGCAACAGAATTACTTTTATAGTATCACACGATCAAATGAGTCTCTCAATTTGGTTATGAATATCTTGCACATCCTAGTGAAGTGGAAAAGAACAATAAGAATCAACAATGAAACACACTATGAAACTAGTGGAAAGCAACAGCTAGACTGATCCCGAATTGTTTTTTTTATATATCATAGATGGGATCACCTCAACCACCTTCTGAGATCACTAGCAGAAGATGGGGACATCTCACCACCAAGGCTTTCGGTACAGCAAGATGAATAGTTAGATTGTCGTTCGATTCCGAATTGTGATCCGCTCACGCTTTTGAAACTGGGACTCCTCAAATTGTGACTGCAACCTCCGTATCCCATTCCAATGCCGTATGGTTCGGGGACAGGGAATGATAGCCTTTTCTTCACAGAACCGGTTCGGTCCTTCTCGGGTGTTGACGGCCTCTGCCTTGGTGCACTTTGAGACCTGATCCTAGCCTTTGCTGACTCGGTTGCCGCCATGTAATTAGGCACCGTAATGGCATTATTTCCGGTGCCGCTACTTGTACCGAAGCTGCCGGTGTAATAGTAATTGGACCTTAAGCTTGGTGTTTGAGATGAAAATGAGCTCCGATCATCTCGAACACAACGAGGACTAGCGGACTGAACTTGAATAGGCCTGATTTTGGACGGAGAGGGTGTAATAGGAGAGTGGTGGAAAGGTGCATTTTGTTGAGCTCTATGCAGAGGTGAACTAGGCCTTTGGTGGTAATGGTTTGAATTTGTTCTTCGATAATTAGGTGGTAAATATGAGTAAGGCCGGGAAGTGTCAATTTCTACAGTTTTGACACTATCTCTATGATCTGCTGAAGCTCTTCCTCTGTTATCACATGGCTTAGCAGGCATCCAACGGTCAAGCCATTTCGGCTCAAGCTCGTCTTCTTGACCACCCACCGACGGGCTCCTTCGAGCTCTCCGCATCTATTTGCGGAACATGGACTAATTAGCTTATAGGAATCATTAAAATAAGACAAAGGGCATATGGTTAAGACTTAACAAGATTCACCTGTTGAGACAGTGCCTGGGATAAGTTCTTTTCACGCTTCAAAGCAGCTTCTTTTCTGTGTTGTAGCATAGCTTTAACTTCCTCGACGGTGTGTGGCCTTTCGTCCCAATCATCTGCTATGCTACTTCCTTCTCTTGACTGAAACACACACTCACACATTGTTTTACATAAACCATAATTAGTTAAAAAGAAAGCTTAAGCACTTGCAAACATTCTGTATGACTTACTAATGATCTTCTGTCGGAGATATCCTGAAGGTAACGCGATTCCCATACGCTATTCGTGTCGCTAAACGCCGATTTTCGGCTTCCATCGTGCGAGAGCCTCTTTCTTTGGTCAAGAACACGAGCCTGCACTTTAACCAGAGCTTGCATGCACCGGAGTGTCATCTTTGCCTGATTTCTCACATTGTGACCTCTCACTAAAGCTTGCAACTTCACTAAACCTTTTAGCGCACGAAGAGCTCTTCTTGCCTTCACAAGCACCGCACAAAATTCAACTATTGGAATCCAAATGATACAAAATAATAAATTTTTCTTACCAGGTAGCCTCTAAAAGCTGTCTGAATAACAATGGCAGCAAAGTGGTGGTCTCTGCCATAGCTAGGTTTAGTCAAACGAGCTGCTTGTAGAGCAGCCTGCGCCGTGGCCACCGCAGCCCTCGCCGTCTCCGCCTTAGTCACCGCCACAGCAATCGCATGCTTTTTTTCCGCTGCTGAGGTTGCACCACCAGGTCCGCCACCATTGCCTACTCTCTTCACCGGTGTAGGCTGCGTCACCGTTTCTTGAATTGTCGATTTCCTGAAGATCCACCGCCGCTTATCTCTCTTCTATCAAAACCAGATCAAAGAATTTGGAGCCATTAAAAAGAAAGGACCGAGCTGAACTTGTTCAACACAATTTACAAACCTTTTCTTCATCGTCTTCCTGCTGATCATGTCGGTTACTTTTCCTGTCATTTGCACTGTCTTTAGTAGGAGATCTAAAAGCCCTTTTTACAGCAGTCAGCCATGAAGTCCCTCCTTTCTTCCCCATTCAAAAGAAAACGGTTAAACCAGACAGCATTTACAGAAAATACAGCTAGAAAAATGCATAGAAACAAGGAACCACACCACTGCGAGATACAAAGATTCTGTTTGTAATATGGATTTTTACTAACTACCAGAGTAAGACAGTGATGAAGATGTAATTTAATGATATTTTCCCCCCGAGAGAGCGAAAGTGGGAAACAACCAAAGTAAAGAGCTTAGATTGAATATATCTAAACCCGGGGAACTATTTTTGGTGGCATTGGAAGACATATATACATCGACGGTGGTGGTGTCAGAGACTCAGCGTTGTACGTTAATGTTACCATCTTTTTCATGCTATTAAGGGGATGTTTAATTGTCTCTTAATGGAATCATTCAACGTTTGTTTTGTACCTTTGAATAATTTAGTGTTGACTGATTCAACAAAACAATGCTGAATGATTCAGTATAGAAGTATATTCTCAATGATTCAACACAGAAGTACATTCTGAATGATTCAGAGTCATTATCAAACAACATGTCACATTCAGAGTTAATTCATACAGAGTCTTTGAATCATTCAACGCTTAATCATTCTAAAATAAACCAACAACCCCTAAATTTATAAAAATAAATAAAAATGGGTGTTTTCAGTTATTTTCTATGGGTAATAAAAAGGTTTAGTTCTCATCAAACATCTCAAATTGTTGTTAAGAACTCATGTCAAATTTTGTTAGGGCATGATGTTAAAGCATGGTTGTCTACTTTCACGAATTTCTTTTTATTCTTAAACATTACATAACTATTCTTCTATTCTAACAAAATTTATTTCTCAAACATAACTCTCACAACCAGTATATTTCTTTTATAGTTTGAAAGGTTAAGACCTATAGATAGAATCAAAATTTTAAATTATTTTTAAAGTGGTATTAATTTTTGGGGAAAATATATAAATGGTCTCTAAACTATTGGACATTGCCTTGTTGAGTTCTATGACCATTAAAAGTTATAAAACGCTTCTCTGGCTATAGGGAGTTGTTTTGTTGAGTCTCTCGACTATTAAAAGTTATAAAATGGTCACTCGATTATATATTATGTTCCAAACTCATTTTTATTGTTAAAGAAGTAACAATCGTCTGAGCTAGACGTTAACATACTGATTGAGATATGATAATCGTTTAAGATTATGAGATCATGTTTTATAATACCTCAGTTAGTATGTTAACGTTCAACTCAGTCTGCCATCAATTTTTTAATGGAAAATGATGAATTTCGAACATAATGAATAGTCAAATAGTCATTTTGTAACTTTTAATAGTCAATGGACTTAACAAATCAACTCTCTATGGTTGGAGATCATTTTGTAAATATAAATTCAATTATCAGTGAATATTATTTTATCAGTGAAATATTTGCATGTAAAATAAATTTAATTATTTTATAATATATACAATAATTTGGAGGACTTGTGTGGAATCATCCTTAACAATAAAGGAGAGTAGTAATTTAAAGAGAAGGTGAGGGTAGTGGGACAAGCGGCGTGCGGTATGGAGAAACGTTTCAGGCAAAGCCCATGGGGAAAGCACGTTGAGTTTGCACATCAACCAACGGTAAAGGCTCAATCTTTTAGTGTTGAAACAAAAGCTTCTTCATCTATTAAGTATTCATAAACCTGATCAGTACAATAAGAAAGTGGAAGCTTTTCTCCGGGTATTGCTTCTTTTGTTTAAACAATTGATAAAAACGTGACACCTCTCGTGGTGTCACGTGGTAGGAACCGACGACAAATAACTAATGAGCAAACAGTGAAAAGAAAAAAGAAAACTGGTGGATGATGGAGCAGGGCGGTCCTTTTTTTGTATTTGGGTTGTTTTATGAGAAAGGGACGTTTGAATTACAAGATGAGAGAAGCATTCAATCAATCTTGTTTGCTTTAACTAGTAAAATGTTTGATGATTGTTGGAAACAATGATAGTATTGTAAAATAATAGTTAGTAGTAGCTTGACAATTATGTAATAAATTGAAATTTTGATGAATAGTTGTCTTTTAAAAATAAGATCCTGAAAAGATTTCTCTAATGATCAAAATACCAACTTCAACACAAAAATCGCGCCAAATAAACAACAAAAGTGATGCAAAAATTTGTACTTCAACTATTTTCTTTCTCAATGTAAGATTTACACCTTTGTGTTAATAATAAAAATTTGTAGATAAAAAACGATTTTAATAGAAATTGTTTTCAAAATAAGTTGGACCTGATTCGATTTTAGATTTAATTTAGATTTTCATGACAAAATCTAAAAAAAGGGGGAAGTCAGGTGGTCCAAAAGGGCTTGGATTACGATAGTTGCAAGGTTTTGGAGATGTAGCAGCCACATAGTCTCAGACTCTTCAGAGTCAGTCAGGCCTTGAGTCTATAAACATGCTAACATTATTGAAGCTTGCCAAAAGATCACTGTGAGACCAGTCAAAGTATCTTTGAGATTCATTTGGGGAAACATAAAATGCCAATGCTAAAGACAGATATATCAGAGCTTTAGTTTGAGTTATAATTTTAGAATCAATGACAATATGAAGCCCACAGTTATTCACACTCGTATGGTTAAATCTAAAATATTATTGGGTTTTCGAACAGAATTGAGACCCAAAAGTCCAATGTCTGTTGGACAATATTGGATTGTTGAAACCCATCTAAGTCCACTATTGTATGTACCCTATTTTGAGTAAATATGTACACACTTTGCCCGCATGCTCCCACGCCCACCCTACTATTACCTAACATGATTAACTTTTTAATTGTGTGATTAACAAGAATTGTGACCCATCGACAGCAACTCAGTCTCCTTTATACCAACAACCAAATATTTGACTAAAGACTCGTAATGTCGCAGTCCGCACAACAAATCCCTTATCACCGTTTGGTCTCCACTTTCATGACTTTGTAATTTCGTGCAATTTGATTCATAATCAAGGTTTTTAAGTTTTCCATGACCAAAGACAGAACCATGATTGAATTACGAGGGGACAAGTTAACTTTAAAAATAAAGTTCTAAAAAGTAATTAAACCATAAATTTTAAGAGATTATGAGTTTAATCTCATTAATTTTAAAATAAAATTCAAAGATCTTAAAATGTAATTAAATCAGTTAAATTTAGAATTAAAGCTTAATTCCACTAATTTTAAAATTGATAGCATCCTAAAAATAATTATTCCAAAAAAATTTTTGGAGAGACAAAAGGCTTAATTGTAATGGTTTCAAAACTACTAGCGACCCAAAAAGGAATTAGACCATCCAAATTTGGGGGGTCATTTCCCTTCCCACCTATAACATGGATTCGTCGTGCATGACATCTCAGTCTATTTTTTCCAATTGTAATGTATAGATTTTTCTTAATAATTGATAATATATATTCATCATGTAGTTGTAGTTGTTTGAATTTAAAACATATAAAAAATAACATTTTCTTCTATCACTGAAATTCACGCAATAAATACTAACATTGAATTTCTTATAATTCAATCAGATAAAAAAATGATATTATTTCGAAGTTTCAAAAAAGAGTACGTATGCAATAATGCAAGCCTTCTTGGTATCCCAGTGTGGGAGGCATGGCCTACAATCTCGCTGGCCTTTATTCCAATTTAAACACTCAAAACACATTTTTGAAAGACCAATTGATTCTTTGGATGAATACAAGAGGGAACCCTCCCTCGTTTTAGCAAATCAATCATGAAAGTGTCCGTATCTATACTAACCAATGGTGATCAAGGAATAAGGCTATTGTCATCATTAGAACATTCTCTCAACGAATCTTATTCATTCACATGGACAAATAAAAACGGGCTTAACCTGCCAAGTATTCATTACTTAAACACACTAGTCAAGGCTGACCATCATCGTAAATGATAAAATATAGCTCAGGTCACTCAAGTATATATTCAATAATAAACGTGTCATCTTTTTTCTTAAAAAAATATAATTTAACCACTCAATTTAAAAAAAATTATAATCAGGTAATTAACTGTTCAAATTAAAATAGATGTCTAATATGTTTGGTATAATAATAGATAGTCTGCTAAAACTTATGTCATTCTATCAATTTGATCATAACTTTAAACAATTCAATAAATTTGAATTTTCATAAAATCCATCAATTTAGTCTTTTTTTACGATACTTTTAAACCAAATGAGTCTGTCAGATCAAAATAGCATATAGATAATTACATTATGTCATAAAATATTAATAAATTACTCTTAAATTGCTATTATACTAGAAAAATAACATGAAAATAATAAGTATTCTGAAAAAAGAATAAACAATTAAGAGAAGAACGATGACTAAAATTATAGTATTTTTAACGTGAAGAGTTAAAATTATTGAATTATTTCAAATTAAGATCAAATTGATAGATTATATAAGATTTGTGAACTAAAATTATGATTATATCAAATCACACCGTTATTTAATATTATACTTAACCGTTAGTGTTCTATTTATAATAATATACTTTCATTGAATAATTAGATTATAATATTTAAAATATAAATAACTCATTTATTACCGATCACATAGGTAACTTTTAATATATCTTATCTTAACATAAAACAAGAATGTATTAAAAAAAATTATCAAAATAAATCTTGATCATTATTGTACGTCACGAGAGAAAAAGTAATCTCACTTTGTCTCTGCTTCTCTTTTGAATGTTAGAAACAGAATAAAGGCTCTTCACGTACGCCGGATCATATGAGAGAATGCATGGACCATTAAGTATTTCATCGAACACCTAAAATAATCCGACAAGCCATATGGCTCAGGGATGATGATGGTATCTAGAAGAGAGAATTATAATTATTATTGCTGTTACATATTTATTATCAAATCACAAAGAGTTGGCTAGTTTTTTTGAGAGCAAAATTTTATGAAAATGGTAGACAGATTGATTAGTTAAAAGATAATATGGTTGACGATGTCCCATCTAAGAATATAAACTTCACCTTTTTTATTTATATTAATAACAATTATATATAATAATAACCTTTCTGACTATCAGATCTACGGTATGATTATAGCATATTGGGTTATTCTGTTATACACTAACATTCACCATGTGGCAACACAGTGGGTGGGTCGATGACAAAGATGAGGACGATGCTCTGGTGAAACTCCATATGTCTATTTCGCTGTTGTAATGATCTTGAGTTCCATGGTAAGGCATGTTGGTGGATATTGATGATGGTGGTGGTAGTGATCGAACGGTTGGTAATTGGAGATCTTGATGATCAGCAATGCTGGTGGTGTTGATGTAGGTTGCCGCTTTCCAAAAACCGGCAGCTGTGGCACGGTTGGTGCGAGTCCCGGTAGGGTACTTCTTGTCTTTGTGGCTGAAAAAGTACCAATCATTTTGAGGCGTGGTTCCAATCTTGCACCACTCTGTAAGAGCACCGTAAGGACAAGCAAATAGCAATACGGAACATAGAGTACCATATCTATATCTATATTTGTATACCTTGAATATCCCAGGGCTCAAGCTTGTTAAGATCAACATCACGAATGACACCTAAATCGATCTTCTCGTAGGAGACTTTCTTCCTAAGGTAGTATTGCAAGAGCTCCTCTTCAGTGGGGTGAAATCGGAAATCGGGTGGGACTTGAGATTCTCCATTAACATATATGCTCATATTTTCCGGCTTTTAAATATAGAGACCAAAGAGAAAGATGACAGAAATAAGTGTTTGTTATGATAAAAGCTTGAAATAATATCAATATTGTCTGTTGACGACGATGATAATACAAATTTGAAATTCAAAAAACGTATTATAGGAAGATTTGCAGTAAACACCTCGTATCTAACAAGTTTTAGGACCCTTTAGATGGATTAATTAACTCATAAGGGTTAGTTTAAAGATAAACTCCGTAGTTTATATTTTACTCAGTACTACTCCTTATCCAAGTAGAAGTACTGGAAACTAAAATTCTCCCGACAAATATGCTCGTAGAAATTCAAACTTGTACAATTTAGATAGCTTGGGATTTGATCTAATCCCACTATATAAGATTGAGTTTTATTTTTATTTTAAAAAATTCAAATTCAGATTAAATCGGGATGAGTTTTTTCAAAGATAAGATCAAGTTGAATTTCAATTTAAATTTAAGATGAAAAATTCCGACCCAAGAAAATGATATAATTATCTTGTATATTTTTAGAAATAATTGTAATCATTTATCTCTTTATTTTTTAGTTAGATCCCTATTTTACTTCATGAAAATATGATTATATATTTGTATTGAATTTAATGTAAATTTTTACCTAAAAACTTGGATTAAATAGAAACTCCCTGTAATCGAACGAGTTATGAGACGGATGAAATGATAAAATGTCCACGTCAAATTCAAATCCACGAAAAATATAATCCGATCTAACCTATATTGTCCCCTACTTAGATCAAATAAATGAATGAGACACCAATAAGTAATAACCATAAGGTAAAAGACCTGGATTAGGCTATCCGTACATACATGATCATGAATTATGCACGCACATACAAATAACCTCGATTAGGGCATGTAGTCATGGACGCATTGTGTTCATCCGGAACCACATATTCTATGGCCCTTAACTGGCTTGAACACTAACCATGGCCCAACGCCAACCCTTTTTAAGATTATACAAAATGGAATAAACAGAGTAAAATGAAGAATGGTTCAAAGTATAACTAGAAATTACAATTCATAATCAATATAATCCGTATTAGAGATGAATGGCTAGAGGCGGTTTTCCCCTTAAAATTTTTAAATTTTATGTCCGTCCCTGATACTTACAATTCTACCATCATCAATATGAACATGGATAAAATTAAGAATTTTATTTTGGGTGTCGACATAAATATATAAATGTTTTGAAGACCAAAACTAAAATGATTGTATCAAAAGGACTAGCGTTAAATTTTAAAATTTTGAAAGAAGTTAAAAGTACAATTTTATTGAATCGAGTGTAAAATGTGCTCAATTCGATTATTTTTTTTGGAAGTGGATGTAAATACAACTATAATTATAGTCCGAGAATTATAAAAATAAAGACAATCACTTTGATTATTCATAAGTAATTTTTTTTTACAGAAGCAGTTTATTTTATTAAATATAAAAAATATTTAGATTATAATAAGGATTTACAATCTAAACGATAAATTAAATACATAATAAGAACATTTTCTCAAACACAAGAAAATTAGTCATCAAAGATTACAAGATGACCATACAATGAAAAAGTTTTAAAAATCTATCCAAATAAACTCGATCAAAAGGTAAATACGAACAGATCTGATTATATCGATAAACGAACCACAAACGAAAATGAAGTTATTAAAAGACTACCGACAAACCGCAAATCAAAATCAAGTGAAGTGAAAATACTTTCCATGAACATAAATCTCGTATCTAAATCTAACTCAATGATACAAATCAGGAAAGATCATCATGATAACAAATAAACGTCATATTGATTAGTCGTGGCAATATCAAATTCAACCCTGAAAAATATAAACAAAAAAATGATCAAACGACCGAAAACGTGCCATAAAAGTTGCGAAAAATGTATCATAAAGGTAGAAGAAGACGAGATAGAATTATTAAAAATTAAAAATCAATAAAAAAACAAAGATACACTATAGAAAAAATAAAGAAGAAGTGTCGTAAAAGAAAAATAATGAATACCGACTGTCGTAACCGTCTTTCGGTTGGGCCCCGGAATTGGGCTTCGACTTAGAAAAATGTGGATTGGAGTCGCCACCGATCATTTATTTAAAGATAAATGGGTTGATCGGATACCCTATTTCTTACTTGATCTGCGTCTTACCAGAAATATGTCGGGCTCGGGAGTCGGTTACGGTCAAGGAAGGGTTAGCACCCTTGAACTGCCCTTTCGGTACTACGTAATTTCCAGTTATCTTTAATTAAGAAAATTGAAAGTTTAACTTAAAAGATACAAACAACGATCCGATTACTTACCTTTAATTGATTTAAACACCCCTCAGAGAAATAAAGACATAAAAAACGAAAATGAATAAATAAAACGAACAAAGGAAATAATAATGAATATAAAATAAGGAAATAATAAAAAAAATTAAAAGTGAAATAAATAAATGAGATGAAAGTAACAATAAATAAAGGATAAAAAAACGAATAAACATATACATAATAACCAAATATTGAATAATAAAATAATAAGTAAAAATATATAATAAAAATATACATAAGAAAGATATAATAATAAAAATAATATATATATATATATATGTAATGAGAAAATAACAAAAAATATAATATAATATAACGTAAAAGATAAAAGATCAATAATAGAGAAATATAATAAATAGGTAAAAAATTAAATATATATATAATATGTAATAATAAAATATAATATTAAAAAAATGAATAAACGAAAATGAATAAAATAAAACGAACAAAGGAAATAATAATGAATATAAAATAAGGAAATAATAAAAAAAATTAAAAGTGAAATAAATAAATGAGATGAAAGTAACAATAAATAAAGGATAAAAAAACGAATAAATATATACATAATAACCAAATATTGAATAATAAAATAATAAGTAAAAATATATAATAAAAATATACATAAGAAAGATATAATAATAAAAATAAAATATATATATATGTAATGAGAAAATAACAAAAAATATAATATAATATAACATAAAAGATAAAAGATCAATAATAGAGAAATATAATAAATAGATAAAAAATTAAATATATATAATATGTAATAATAAATATATATTAAAAAAAAGAATCAAATAAAAAATAAAGAAGTATACGTAAATAATAGAAATGTATATGAAACCAAATAAATGACACAAAATAAAAAAATACAAGGATTAAATTGAAGTAAAAGCTAGTTGAGTGTCAAAATTGAGAGAAAATAAAAATTAGATGCCAAATTAAGATGGATTCTAGGTCAAAAAAGCCTTGAAAAAACATAGGGGGGCCAAAACTGGGATTAACCCACTTCGAAGCAAAAATGCGCGGGTCAGAAAAGACCCACCGGGTCGACTCGCGGATCTCAAATGACCCATGGGTCATGTATATAAGCCAATATTTACCAAATGCTTCATTTTCTCCTTAGCTTAAAACCGAGCCCCCCCTATCTCTGAAGTTTCTCTCGTTTATTCAACCGTGTTCTTCATTTGAAGAACACGACCACCGCTGAAATCCAGAAAACGACCAATGGCCACCCCGCGCCGCCTCGCCGGCCGCCGTTGAACGGTGTCGGCCGTCGTTCATCGGCGGTAAACCCTAAAATTTTATTTTTTCGAAAGCCCTTCACCTCATCGTTTCAAAAAAACAAAATCGTTTCTTTAAAAAGTAAGCCTCGGGGGCCAGATCTGGGTTCGAAAATCTCAACTTATACCCCTGTTCATCGGCTTTATTAACGCATTTGAGGTTTGGAACGAGCACAAAACGGAAACAAAACACGAACAACTCCCACATGCAAGCGTATCAAACAAAAAAAAGGTAAGGTTTTTACCTCTGTAGCCTTCGAAGTTTTCAATAAAACTACTTGGATTGCTTTGAATATTGGTATAACTTTGCTCGAAATTTTTTGTTTTGTGTAATCCCCTTGTAATCTTTGGTATTCGTAGCATCCCCCCAGTTACAATGGATGATTGCATCTATTTATAATGAAAAAAAAACCTATTTTTAAATTACACTTTTGAATCCTAATGGAACTCTAATGCTGGATTATTGCTTTGGTTGATGATGACGGTTGTGACTTTTGCGCCGGATGACTCGGGGACCGTTGGAGAGGCATGCAAGCTGTGGTGTCCTTGAGCGGCTGGAAACAAGGAATGCGTGGCTGCTGGTGAGGGGCGTGCTAGGGTTTGGAAGCATCAGTTGGGTCCGGGTCACTTGGGCCATTTTATTTGCGTGTAATGGGCCTGTAAATATGATAAAACAATTTGTAAACATATATATATACGTTAAATAATCATAAATGTGTGACGAAATTATGTGTCTACAGCTGCCCCTCTTTGCTCATTATCGTGTAACGAAAGTGGAGCAAAGATTACAAGACACAAATTTTGTCTATATCAAACATCCTCTGTCGTAGAGTTGAAATCCGATGTTGAAACTGGTTTGTCAATTCGAATCGCGAAATGACTCCCTCGTCGTGAGGTTGAACTTGTGTTGTCCGGAGTCCAATATCATTCGTTGTGAAGTTGAAATTGGCTCTGAAATTGAGAAGTTGTCGGTTGACAGTCAGCGGTCCCTTCGTCGTGAAGTTGAACTTGTACTGTCTTGAGTCTAATATCCTTAGTTGTGAAGTTGAAATTGGCTCTGAAATTGAGAAATGTTTGTTGACAACCAGCGGTCCCTTCGTCGTGAAGTTGAACTTGCGTTGTCTTGAGTCCAATATCCTTCGTTGTGAAGTTGAAATTGGCTCTAAATTTGAGAAATGTTTGTTGACAACCAGCGGTCCCTTCGTCGTGAAGTTGAACTTGCGTTGTCTGGAGTCCAATATCCTTCGATGTGAAGTTGAAATTGGCTCTAAATTTGAGAAATGTTTGGTGACAACCAGCGGTCCCTTCGTCGTGAAGTTGAACTTGCATTGTCTGGAGTCCAATATCATTCGTTGTGAAGTTGAAATTGGCTCTAAATTTGAGAAATGTTTGTTGACAACCAGCGGTCCCTTCGTCGTGAAGTTGAACTTGCGTTGTCTGGAGTCCAATATCATTCGTTGTGAAGTTGAAATTGGCTCTAAATTTGAGAAATGTTTGGTGACAACCAGCGGTCCCTTCGTCGTGAAGTTGAACTTGCGTTGTCTGGAGTCCAATATCCTTCGCTGTGAAGTTGAAATTGGCTCTAAATTTGAGAAATGTTTGGTGACAACCAGCGGTCCCTTCGTCGTGAAGTTGAACTTGTGTTGTCTGGAGTCCAATATCCTTCGTTGTGAAGTTGAAATTGGCTCTAAATTTGAGAAATTTTTGTTGACAACCAGCGGTCCCTTCGTCGTGAAGTTGAACTTGCGTTGTCTGGAGTCCAATATCATTCGTTGTGAAGTTGAAATTGGCTCTAAATTTGAGAAATATTTGGTGACAACCAGCGGTCCATTCGTCGTGAAGTTGAACTTGCGTTGTCTGGAGTCCAATATCCTTCGTTGTGAAGTTGAAATTGGCTCTGGGTAAAACCTGCAAAGATATGCATATATGCGATGGTATGGATGTCATGCTCTTAGGTATGCCTAAAATGTATAGGCAACATATGTTATTCTGGGCTCTGGAGAGAAATCTTGATTTCCGGTGGCCTGTCATTGTTGACTCTTGATTTTAAAAGCTTGGAGTTCCGATTTCTAATCTTGAATTCTTCAAATGTTTGAATCTGATGTGCACATTTTGGTTTTTTTTTTTTTTAGATGCTCCTCAACCATCTTAAGCATGTGCATGAGCCTTGATCGGCTTCTGGGTACCTGTACTTTTCAATGAATCTTTGTACAGTAATATGCGATCATCTTTCATAAAAAATAAATAAACCATTAGGTTTAAATCTAATTCAAGATGCTCAAAAGGAATTGGAGGAAAGATGGTCTTAATTCATAAGGGAGGAGAAGAACATATAATACATGGCAAACATTCTAGAAAACGAATACACAACGATGTGTAAATGAACGTCTTAGATCTCGATAATGTGTGCACTTCTGAGCTGAAAAGCCGTTTGGTGACCTTGAATGCAGCCTTTGCCAAAGGATCTTTGAAAACGCGATGACGTTTGGGAGAGTGCAACATTTCTCCGATTTATTGAGTTTGTAGAAGAT